CCTGTTGCCCTGGGCCCCCCACACATCTTGTGCTGTAGCCATTAGATTATTCACCGTTTCATAACCGTGACAGCCCTACTGATGCTTCCATGCCATTGCACATGCTGGATCTCTCCTTGAAATGTCCTCTGCCCTGGTTCACATGACAGATTCCCATTTACCCAGTTTCAGTGTCCCTTCCCCAGTATAGCCTTCCTTCTCTGCCTCTCCTTCAGCCCCCTCCACTGTTCCCAGATATAAACTATTGGGGCTTTTACCATTTTGCATTATAATTCTATTTGCCTATTTCTCTCCTCACCCTCAACATCTTGGCACAGCATCTACCTGACACACAGTAGGTGCTCAAATCTTATGTTGAATGCTGAATGAGAATTAATTTAGCTGTTCAAAGTTGAAGATTATGAAATAAGCTGAACTGCTTTTGGTGGGGCTCAGCATCTCATATCACAATTATGTTCCCAAGGGAAGTCAGTACCTAGACAGTAGAGGGATATAGGATCCAGCTGTCTGCATCCACGGCTCCTTTCCCAGCCTGCTCTGAAAGCTACCTTCAAAGTCAAAGGCTACTAAACAAGCTTACTACATAAATGGTGGGCACAGTATGAAGATGAAACATAAACATCCTGACAAGTCCTGTGGAGGAGGCTGAGAAAGTGACAGAAGGATGCTGACTGGTGGCTGGCAGGTGTTTATAGGAGAGCAGTGATGGCTCAGCCGTCCAGGAACAACCTGTCTGATCTCTTTAGAGACACCTGGAGCTTGCCAGCTCCCACTACTCAAATTACAGTAAGTGCTGCACAGTGTTTGTTTCTGCTGTGGCAGTGAGAACCGCTCACTCTTCCGCCTGCACAACACAGATGGTGCAGATGGGAGCGTGCTTCCACATGAGGATGTGCAATTATGCCCAGTTCCTCCAGCTGTAACAATTACCAGGAGAACACCCGAGGGAAGGAAACAATCCCGGCAGATAGCTGTCTTCCACGCTGGCACACACCACTTAGTCCTCCCAAGAGCAGCTGCTGGATCTATGGCCTCTAGTCCCTTTCACAGTCCTTCCTGGAACTCATGTATTTGAAAAACATTTGGTGAGATCAGAACATAAGGCAGTCATTAAACAGGATATATTTAAGTAAGAAAATACCAAGGCTTTATTTTTTTTTTCTTATAAAGACAGCCCTGCTATTGGCTAAGTGGAAAGATGTACACACTTCTCATGAGTAAACAAGATTTACCTGCTTCAGGCTGCATACCATAATGCCAAAGTGACATGAAGGAGGCAGAGGTGTAATGCTCTCATCTTCATAGCAATAAAATGCAAAATAAAAAAAACTTAAATGGACTTAATTAATGCTAGGCATTCCCACAGGGAAAAGGCAAGAGGACTTTAAGTCGATCGGGTTGTACTGTGTACGACAAAAAAATTCCGTCAGGCTGAGCCACCTGGCTCTCCCCATCTGAGGTATACAGTCTAGAACCGACAAGGCTGAGAGTCAGGAGCTTCTGCTTTACAGTCCACTGAGATATGAAGGAGGCAGAGTCTTGGAAGACCGGATGACCCACTCTGGTGAGGCACCTACGTGCAGCAGTGTCGCATATGGAAGTTGACAACATACTCAGCGTTAGTCCTCTGCACAGAGATAGCAAAAGGCTCGAAAGGGTGGAAGGTGAAGGCAACAAGGCGTCGCACCGTGTGGTTGATGGGACGGCCCAGTAAGCCTGCCTGAATCTCAAACTTGAGCAGACCAGAGTCCCGGGCATAGAACCTAAACAGAACAAGAGAGAAGGAGAGGATGGGACAGATACTGACCACCATCTTGAAACCTGAACAGCAGGAAAATGTGCCAACTCGTTATTTAACCTCACTGGTGACATCTCCTCTAACAGCAGCCCCAGGTTATTGGAACTGCAAAATCACCTTTGTCTGATCAGCTCACTTTACGGGCAGGGTGATTATGAACTTCCCCGTGCTGTCCTGAGTCACTGGGTCATTTCTCTTTCCCAAGATGACCCTTAGTTACAGCCTTAACTACAGCCTCCCCTTTTCCAGTAGCTACCTGCCCAAGATTGCCTAGTACAGGACTGGAAATGAAATGTGAGCCACATACGTTATTTTAAATTTTCAGGTAGCCACATTAAACAAAGTAAAAGGTGAAATTAATTTTAATAATATTTTATTTAACCCAATATTGGTATCTAAAATATTATCATTTTAACCTATAATCAATATAAAAGATACTAAAAAAAAGTTTTTTTTGTACTAAGCCTTTGAAATCTGATGTGTGTTGACACTTGAGCACATCTCAACTTGGACTAGTCACATGTTAGTGATGTCAGTGCTCAACAGCTACATAAGGTTAGTAGCTACTATAGAACAGTGCAGATCTAGGCCTATATTTGAGTTTTTCACTTTCAAGAATAAATTCCTTTAGAAGGTCCTTCTTTTTCACACACAAATACAAAATACTAAGTAGTTTTTACTTTTTCATCTAACGCAGTAAGAATAAAGATGCTTCCATCCATCCCAATACTTAAATAAATGCCTTTTTCCCACATGCAAAATAAGTGCCCTGTGAACTTGGGAACTAGAGATGATCAGCAGCGTTGGGGCTGAACTGGGGGAAGTTCTAGAAAATAAAGAGCTCTGAAATAAAGAGCTCTATAATTTCCCTTTTGGGAAGCAAATATATACTAGACGTAAAGATATTCATACCCCTTGACTCAACAATCCCATTTCTAAGAACTTATATCCTTAGAATTTAATTTAAATGCAGTAAATAGTGACATGAATAAAGATGCCTACTACAGCATTAGCTCTAATGTAAAAATGCAGAGAGAATAATGCTCAGTAATAGGGAAATAGTTAAATCAATTATGGTACACCTACTTGATGGAATAATATGCCACCATTAGGACTGTAACTGTGAGGACTATGTAACAATATGGAAAAATGTTTATTAAATAAAAGCAGGCTACAAAGTATTATGCCAACCATGATTACAACTGTGTAAACATAAACATGCATACTGGCAAAGACTAGAATGGAATATACAATGAGTGTTAGAGTAATGGCATTACCTCTACAAATGACTTTTATATCCCTACATTTCTCATTTTAAATTAAAAATAAAGAATTACAAGAAAAATCTTTTAAGTCAGGGTCAATGGCATTTCCAGATTTGTTTAATCTTTTCAAATCAGAAAGGCAGGGAAGTAAAAAAGGAGAGAAATGTATCTCGTGCTTCGTGACAATATCAAATGAGGCCAATTATCTGCTTTCATGTGTGAAAAACACATTCACCTTACCCACATAGTCCCCAGCACACAAAGGGCTTATAATTTAAAGTGAGCTGTTTGAGCTCCTAAATCTAACTACCAGTTTACAGGAAATATGGGGGAATGAGAAAGGCAGTAAATACGCCAGAGATGCAATGAGCAAAATCTAGAATATGGTGAATACTACCGGACGAACAACCTGGTTTCTTCAACTATTTCACTGCAAAGAAAGTAAGAGGGAAGCAGAACCCATAGAATAAAAAAGACTTAAGAGGATAGCAACCAAATACAACATACACACCTTGTTTAGATCCGGACTGGAACAAACTGTAAAAAGACTATGCACAAGACAATAGGGAAATGTGAAAACTCACCAGATATCGATGATCTTAATATATTTTTGTTAATTTTCATAAGATGGAATAATGGTATTAAGGTTGTATGTTTTTAAGTCCTTACCTTTTAGAAATTCATACTGAAATATTTACAAGTGAAATGCTATGACACCTGGGATGTGATGGTCCAGGGTGGCAGTTGGGAGGGGAGAAGTGGTGGTGGAAAGAGATGAAACAACACTGACCATGAAGTGATAACTGTTGAAGCAGGGTGATGGGTACAGGGAGGTTCATTATACTCTTCTACTTTAATATGTTTAAAAATTTCCATATGGCTTCCCTGGTGGCGCAGTGGTTGAGAGTCTGCCTGCCGATTCAGGGGACACAGGTTCGTGCCCCGGTCCGGGAAGATCCCACATGCCGTGGAGCGGCTGGGCCCGTGAGCCATGGCCACTAAGCCTGCACGTTCGGAGCCTGTGCTCCACAACGGGAGAGGTCACAATAGTGAGAGGCCTGCGTACCGCAAAAAAACAAGAAAAAAAAAAAATTTCCATAATAAAAAAAATTTTTTTAACTGGCTTTTGGAACCTGACTGCAATTTCTCAAAGGATATATTACAAATGGTGATTAAATGTTCAGAGTATGTTACACAAGCCTATTTAATACACAATGAAGCTGGATTATGAAATACTATCTACCACTATTTCTATGTGAAAAAGACCTTCCAAAATCCAGCTCAGGGCTCCAGGAACACACCTCCCTTGAAATAACCCCACTAGTGGCAGTGGTGCCAGTTCCTCTCCCTAGTACCTATTATAGCACACAGAACCACCCAAGCTCCCGGCACAGACAAGCGGGTCTGTGAATTGGACATACGTGAGGAAGGCATTGCTTACAGGAGATTAGTTTCAAGGTTCTAGCAGTAATACAGTGATCTGCATTCCAAAATTCTTCCAAGTGAGGAAGCATGAGTTTCTCCAAAACCTGCCTGTTTCCCAAACCGTCTCTGCTATCATTTCTATTAGGTAACATGAGAGGATAAAATAATTTGAGCTGGATAAAATTTAAGTCTCAATTATAAACACTGTTAAGAAATGGTATTAGATTATTAAATTGAAAAGTATGGTTTCCTTCTCTGGATACCCTGAAAAAGGAACAACACTTATCTGAATTTGATGTTTTGATGAGAAGCAAAGAGCAGAACTAATTAATTTATGAGATTAGTGCCTGAATGATCAAAGTACCCACCATATTATAGAAATAGCCTACCCTCTGAATTCAGCCCATGAGTACAAGTGGACAGAGTCACAGTGAAATGATGTTTAAGAAGTAGAGAAAGAGAAAGCAGGCCACCTCCTCAGGCAGTGTGCAGCTGAAGCAGGGATGGTGTACCTGATAGGGTGATCTCCACAAGTCTTGGGCCGCTCCATGACTGACACCCACTTGTCATCGTAGCTGAAGAGAGACAAATCAAGGTAGGGGCTACCACTGTAAGACTGGGCGCTGATGGGGAGCTGACCCAGCAGCCGGCGTACTGCCTCCGTGTGCCCTCCATACTTGGCATTTACAATAGTGTCTTTAAACCTAAAATAAAGCACCAGTGAGGAAGGCTATGTTAGTGGCACACAAACTGCACTGGGTTTTAAAATGACAAACATATGTCTAAAAACAACTCATTCTGAAAACAAAATCTAGATATTGAATTCTGACACATCACAAATCTGCCTAGCTACAAATATTCTCAAAAAGCAAAAATAGAATGAGAAATTGGGAACATTAAGTTACTTTAGAAAAGTTAGCAAATATTCTACAAAAGTTAACAACAGTATGACTAATCTATGACAAATATTTCTACTCAAACTTATTTCCTCCAAATAGCAGCCTTAGACTACATTAAAAAGGAGTTACACAGAGTAGAAAATCCTGAACAGACACAGCCTCTGACTCTTCTTGGGATCAGTTATAAGCCAACTTACATCAAACCTTTTGACAAATTACTCATTCTTTGTTTAAATAAAGTTTGGGAGCTTGCTACTTATACTTCTGCCAAAACTCCAGTATCTAGAAGAACAGTAACATGGATACAGAATCACCTATCTGACTTATCATTAATAATAACAATAGAGCAGTTATTTCTCACAATTATAATGAATACTAAATTTAATACCCTTTGACTAAGTATTTCTATTCTTCTGGAAGTTTGCCCTAAGGAAGAAAAATCCCTGTGCACGTTCAATATAGCACTGTTTATGACAATGAAAAATTGAGAGAAAAATTAAAAACCTAATAGAAAACCATAATTTTCAAAGATTATATGGTAAAAGAGGAAATGTTTATCATAATGGTAAGTAAAAGAAGTAGGCTACAATCTGTATATATAGTATGATCAAAAACACACACAGGGGCTTCCCTGGTGGTGCAGTGGTTGAGAGTCCGACTGCCGATGCAGGGGATATGGGTTCGTGCCCCGGTCCGGGAAGATCCCACATGCCGCAGAGCGGCTAGGCCCATGAGCCATGGCCGCTGAGCCTGCGCGTCCGGGAGCCTGTGCTCCGCAACAGGAGAGGCCACAACAGTGAGAGGCCCGTATACCGCAAAAAACAACAACAAAAAAAAACACACACACACAAATTTATGCCTTAAAAAAAAAAACTGGTGGAAATACATCAAAATGGTAATAGTTGTGTTTGTGTAATGACATTTTAGATTTTTTTTTAACCTTTTTCACTTTCCTATAGTTTCTTAGAAAATATGTCAACTGTTTATCAGCTTGATTTTTCTTTTATTCTCTATATTGAAGCATATCATATAGTTTAACAATCAAGGGGAAAATAATTTTTTTAGTCCAGGGGAGAAAATACGATATAACATTTCATCCCTGAAACTAATGGAATAAAAAACTTGAATGTTCAGGACTTCCTTGGTGGTGCAGTGGTTAAGAATCTGCCTGCCAATTCAGGGGACACGGTTTCGAGCCCTGGTCTGGGAAGATCCCGCGTGCTGCAGAGCAACTAAGCCTATGCGCCACAACTACTGAGCCTGCGCTCTAGGGCCCACGAGCCACAACTACTGAACCCACATGCCACAACTACTGAAGCCCGCGTGCCTAGAGCCCGTGCTCCGCAACAAGAGAAGCCACTGCAATGAGAAGCCCATGCACTGCAACGAAGAGTAGCCCCTGTTCGCCGCAACTAGAGAAAGCCCACGCGCAGCAACAAAGACCCAACGCAGCAAAAGATAAATAAATAAATAAACAAACAAACTTGAATGTTCGTAACTTTGATGAGACCAGAAAGATTGATTAGATGGGTTTTGATTTGTTTTCACTGCTAGCCTGCAGTGCTAGATGGACATTAACACTTCTCAGTTCCCCCAAAAGAAAGCCTAGTGTTAACACTGCTCTTCCATTATTTCTCGACAGTAATTTTCACAGCCTCAATGTAAATCATAAAATTAAACCCTGGGCCACAAAGAACTTATTTCTTTCCCTTTCATTTGAGCTGATATCAAAGATCCTGGGCTCTTTGGTTTTCAGCCCTTTGTCAGTGAAGATCTACTACTCCAACACTGCCTGACTCACTGGCTTCAAAAGTTGGCTTCGAATGATGGGGCTGGCCCACAGCTTCATGATAACCACAAATCAAAGCCTCCGTGACAATCCACGGGCTGAAGCAGCTCCTAATCCCCGGCAGCACCCACCACCTCTACTCTCCAGGCTCCCCAACAACTAAAAGATGAAGCAGTGGGCTTCCCTGGTGGCGCGGTGGTTGGGAGTCCGCCTGCCGATGCAGGGGACACGGGTTCGTGCCCCGGTCCGGGAAGATCCCACATGCCGCGAAGCGGCTGGGCCCATGAGCCATGGCCGCTGAGCCTGTGCGCCCGGAGCCTGTGCTCCACAATGGGAGAGGCCACAACAGTGAGAGGCCCGCGTACTGCAAAAAAAAAAAAAAAAAGATGAAGCAGTCATCCCTCTGATGTCTTCACCTGATTAACTCCTAGCTCACTGTCACTGTCCAACTATGCCTCTCTTAATTCACAATTTCAAAATTCTCAGAGATGATCCTTCCAACACCACGGCTTCCTAGTTCCTGGACTTCCTTTCTGCCTCAGCCACTCGTTCCAATGGTCATATCCTCAATCTCACTCTTACCAATGACTGCACCCCCCTGTAACAGGGTGCAGCACCACAGACTCCAACTATCTTCTCTCCTACTTTTCCAGCTAACTCCCTCTACTCATCCCAGCTTCAACATCCTTCAGACCCAATGGGACCTAAATTCCATTGACTCTACCAACTTTTTGCCATCCTACGCCTTCATCATGACCTCTTTTCCTTCCTTAGCCAGCTTAAATTTCACAATCATTAAAATCACAAAATTTATATCCATAAATTCACGTGGGCCCTTAATGCTGCAGGACACTCATGCTGCATTCCCACAGTCCAGCGAGTCTCCTACTCACTTAGAAGACTATTTCATCCCCCTCCTCCATGTTCATCCTCACATAATGGCACTACCTTCTTTGTAACTGACAAGTAGAAGAAATGAGAAGAAAACTTTTTAAAGCTCCCATTAGCACATCTGTACCTATTTAACTGTATGTGCTGCCCTAGAAGGCTAATCCATCCACTTGGGCACTAGTTTCTATCCTCTGACCTCATATACTTAACCAATTCTGCCCCCACCCCAACTTTTCCTAACCCATCAGTTTCCTCCTATGTACAGATCAGTCCCATCTGCAAACAAACATGCCATTTTCCCCTCCCATTTAAAAAATAATATCAATAAAAGCAGAAACTTAACACCACTTGCCCCTCCAGCTAACGCACCATTTTTCAGCTCTCCTTTACAGTAAAACTCCTCAAAGCACTTTTTCCTACTGTCTCTTCTCCTCCCATTCTTTCTTAAACCCACCCCAAAGAGGCTTTCACGCCCACCATCTCACTGAAACGACTCTCATCAATGTCTCCAGTGATCTCCATGTTGATGACTCTAATCGCTGATTATCAGTCCTTACTGTACTTGACCTGTCAGGAGGATCTGACACTCCTTCCTCAGAGAAACTACTAGACCTCTCCACTTACAGAACTTCTGGTCTTCTCGCCTAAACCTGCTCCACCCACAAGCTTCACCATCAGAGTTTAATGGTAACACTCTCTTAACAAGTTGACTGGGCCAAAAATGTTAGAATCATCTTTGACTTCGCTCTTTCACAGCCCATTTCCCATCCTCCGCTAATCTTCTGGGCTCTATCTTCAAAATACATTGAGAATACAATTACTTACCACCCCCAATGTTATCACCCTGATCCAAGCCACCATTATTCAACCAACAAATTATTACTGATAGCCTAGAATGGGCAAGGCACTCTTCTAGGTGCTTAGGATACTATAAATGAGCACAAAAGAACTTAAATCCTAGTGTCAGGAACAAAAGGTAGCAATTTTATTTATTGGATCATTGCAATGGTCTACTAACTTCTACCCTATCCCCCTATGGTCTATTCTTATTTATTTATTTTGCGGTACGCGGGCCTCTCACTGTTGTGGCCTCTCCCATTGCGGAGCACAGGCTCCAGACGCGCAGGCCCAGCGGCCATGGCCCATGGGCCCAGCCGCGCCGCGGCACGCGGGATCCTCCCGGACTGGGGCACGAACCCGTGTCCCCTGCATCGGCAGGTGGACTCTCAACCACTGCGCCACCAGGGAAGCCCTAATGACTTAATTTTTTATATATAAAATGTATGTGATCTTTCTGAAAGTTTTTACAATTTTCTCTTTATCCCCAGTGTTCTAAAATTTCATGATGATATGCCTCAGTATGGGTTTTTTATTTATTGACTGTACTGGTTACTTGATGGAGCCGTGATGTGCTAATAAGTTTAATAATTATTTCTCTGCAGGGAAAAAAGCCATGATTTGCAGTGCCTGCCAATTTCTGTGGTGTAAATCCTCCTGCTGTGGTCAATTTCAAGGTACCAAAGTGACATCACTGAATGCAGAGTTGTCAAGAGATGAGCAGTAGCACATCACTATATAATATTTTTACCAGATAAAATAGATACAAATAACCTCAAGAGTACGACAGTAAAACAATTATGAATTAATAATTAGAAAATAATTTATTTATTTATTTATTTATTTTTGCGGTACGCGGGCCTCTCACTGCTGTGGCCTCTCCCGTTGCGGAGCACAGGCTCTGGACTGGCAGGCTCAGCAGCCATGGCTCACGGGCCTAGCCACTCCGCGGCATGTGGGATCCTCCCAGACCGGGGCACGAACCCGTATCCCCTGCATCAGCAGGCGGACTCTCAACCACTGCGCCACCAGGGAAGCCCCAAAATAATTAATTTTTAATAATGGCTGTGTTTAACAGCTTGCAGAAACTCCTGAAACTTTAACAGTTGGCTCTCACAAGCCAGAATGAGCCAGCTCCAGCACACCACTGGATGGTCCTTGCCAATCTGGGAGAGAGAGAGAGAGAGAGAGAGAGAGAGTGTGTGTGAGTGAGTGTGTGTGTGTGTGTATGTGTGTATTCGCACATCTTGCGGGACCTCAGTTCTCCAACTAAGGATTGAACCTGGGCCACGGCAGTGAAAGCCTGGAATCCTAACCACTAAGCCACCAGGGAACGCCCATGGAAATGTATATTTTTCAGTACTAGAAAACTGTTTAGGGTCTTCCCTGGTGGCACAGTGGTTAAGAATCTGCCTGCCAATGCAGGGGACATGGGTTCAATCCCTGGTCCGGGAAGATCCCACATGCCGCGGACCAACTAAGCCCGGGCGCCACAGCTACTGAGCCTGCGCTCTAGAGCCTGCAAGCCACAATTACTGAGCCCACCCGACTGGAGCCTGTGCTCTGCAACAAGAGAAGCCACCGCAATGAGAAGCCCTCGCACCACAATGAAGAGCAGCCACCACTCGCTGCAACTAGGGAAAGCTCACACACAGCAGAGAAGACCCAACACAGCCAAAAATAAAAATATATATATTAGCGGGCTTCCCTGGTGGCGCAGTGGTTGAGAGTCCACCTGCCGATGCAGGGGACATGGGTTTGTGCCCCGGTCCGGGAAGATCCCACATGCCGCAGAGCGGCTGGGCCCGTGAGCCATGGCCGCTGAGCCTGCGCGTCCGGAGCCTGTGCTCTGCAGCGGGAGAAGCCGCGGCGGTGAGAGGCCCACGGATGGCCAAAACAAAACAAAACAAAAAAATATATATATAGACAGATAGATAGATAGATTAAAAAAAAAAGGAAAAAGAAAACTGTTTACATTATTTCCTCCCCTTCATTTTTCTACTGCTCCTTCTGAAATTAGCCAGATATCGGACCTCCTGAGAAAATCCTCTAAATTTTTATCACCTCTCTCCCATTTTCCTACTCATCTTTGTATTCTACCTTCTTGGAGAGTTCCTAAACTATATCTAACAAAGTTTAAATTTCTAAAGCATCTCACTTAGCATTACTGTTCTAGGAATGTTCCTGTTTTTATAGTTTAAATTATTTCAGTGACTACCATGTTGTTTCTTTATTTTTTATACTGTTTGTTTTATTTGGTCTCTATCTTTTAAGATAAAGGCTTTAAGTGACTCATGATCCCTGATGTCCATTTTTTTCTTAAACATTTATTCCAACCTAAAATAGAATCCATTTTCATTTATTTTTACCAAAAGTTTATTGAAAACTGTAAAATTGAGCATTCAAATCCATGTGTTCACAAGAAATAAAAAATAATTTTGATTTATATGTACACTATATTTTCAATGCAGCAAAGTATGATAAGATGATTAATAAAATGTTATTAGGACACAATTCTCTGGGGGAGATAGAACAGACATATGAATTTGAAAAGAAAAAGAAATATAAAATTTCAAACAGTACAGGAATAACTTGCTCTGTATGTTTTTTTTCTTCTTTTGGCCACGCCATGCGGCATGCGGGATCTTAGTTCCCTGACCAGAGATCGAACCCCCGCCCTTTGCAGTGGGAGCACAGAGTCTTAACCACTGGACCACCAGGGAAGTCTGTACTTGCTCTGTACCTTTTATGTGAAATAGAATACTAAATTACTATGGTATTAGATTCCCTTGGATATATTTAAAATGGCATATAACATTGGCTACCTTCAACTTAGCCAATGTTATATGCCAATTATATCTTGCAATGCTTTTTTTAAAAATGTCAATGTTTAATACATTGAAAATTGCATCCTTTGCAACTATTTAAATTCAACAGTAAAAAGTTTAAAGATTAACTTAATAATTGATGCATGAGGGTATCTACAGTTTTTCAAAATCTTTGCTGGTATGAAGCAAAATTTTGAAGATAACAAAGCTAGAATGCCACCTTTCTCTTTAACCTTTTGTTTTCTCTTCCAGGGCTTCCTACAATTTCACTTAATTATAGGTATACTGTGAAATAAATTTTCAGAAAACATAGCTTCCTCTAATTCCTAATGACATTATTCATTCAACAAATATCTTACATGCTCCTCCCACATGAAAGACACTGGCCTAGGTGCTGTGGATATGGCAGTGTATATAACAGACAAAAATCCCTACCCTCATGGAGCTTACCTTCTAGTGACTTCTTTGATGTTTTAACTGAGTGTACCCAGTTTTTGTTACTAGTCGATAATAATCTGCTTAATTTTAAAGTTAATTTTAAAAGACAACAATTCATTTCAAAATGAAAAAAGCAAGATCTGATCCATGTTCTGCTCCCAACAATCCTTCTATACTGAATAGAGATGCTAGTAAGGCAGAAAATTTGTGTGAACCAGAGAAAAAAAGGCATGTTTAGTTGTCTGAAAATCAATATCCATCTATTTTTAATCAATTACTGTCATTCTGTATAAATACAATGCCACTGAATTAGGTGTCTGCTTTGCTTGTTTTTCCCAGTGGCAGTAATGCTTATTCTGATTCATCCACTCATTCTGGTCTGATCTATATTGGAACCTAAAGCAGATATTTTCCATAACTGGCTAAGGTTGGGGAAGCAATTTAGGTATGTGGAACGTGACCAGGCACTGACTGACTAGAGTAGAATTGAGTCCTTGGTCCAAAATAACTAGTCATTTCACAATAATGTATTCAGATAATTATGAGCAGCTCTGGTTCATAACAGGTGGGTATCAATTTAGGGTGACCTAGGTGTTTTAAGAGGGGCCTCCAAGTGTCTCTTCTTCGGGTTGGTCAGTTTCCCTGAGTAATTTATCTCTAATCTCCTGCCTGGGGAGTATAAGCTTGGATGCCATAACTGATAAGAGGGATAGGAGTCTTCCCCAACAGTATGACAATTTTCACTTAATTCTTGTTTTAAGCATGACATGTCTCATCCCTACTCTCAGCCATGCCTCATGAACATGAAACCAGAGCCTGCACGGTGCAATTTCTCCAGAGAATAAACCTCTAGCCTTTTGATGAGGTGGGGAAGAGACAGTCATTTGGCAGTGTAGGCTTAAAGAAAGGAGCTAGAGCATCTGATTGCTCCTTTTAAGAATGTCATCCAGGGACCTCCCTGGTGGTCCAGTGGGTTAGGACTCCGAGCTTCCACTGCAGGGGACAAGGGTTTGATCCCTGGTTGGGGAACTAAGATCCCACAATCCACGTGGCATGGCTGGAAAAAAAAAAAAAAAGTCATCCAATCCTCCAGAGGTATGTAGGGCCTCCAATTTCTTGAACTTTTCCAGAGCTCTCTGGTGCAACGCTACTTATTTCTTGATGGATAAACTCTGCATTTTTTTTTTTTTTTTAAATTTTGGCTGCTCTGGGTCTCAGTTGCAGCATGCGGGATTGTTTAGGTGCAGCAATGTACTCTTACTTGTGGCATGAGGGCTTCCTAGTTGTGGCACACAGACTTCTTAGTTGTGTCACACGAACTCTTAGTTGTGGCATGTATGCAAGATCTAGTTCCCCGACCAGGGATCGAACCTAGGCCCCCTGCATTGGGAGGATGGAGTCTTACCCACTGGACCACCAGGGAGGTCCCTAAGCTCTACAGTCTTTAAGTTTTTGTCCTCTGAGATATGTCAAGTTAGTTATCACTCATCCATTGGCTCTTCAGCTTCTAAAACTCTCTTGATATCTCCTCCCCATTCTCTTTGTTCTTGTAGCTTTATACCTCTTCTTTTTTTTTTAAGATTTATTTATTATTTATTTATTTATTTAATTTACTTTTGGCTGCGTCGGGTCTTAGCTGCAGCATATGGGATCTTCGTTGAGGTGTGCAGGATCTTTAGTTGCAGCGCGCAGGCTTCCCTCTAGTTGTGGCATGCGGGTTTTCTCTTCTCTAGTTGTGCAACGCAGGCTCCAGGGAGCATAGACTCTGTACTTGTGACGCATGGGTTCCAGAGCACGTGGGCTCTGTAGTTTTGTGGCACACGGGCTCTAGTTGAGGCGCGTGAGCTCAGTAGTTGTGGCACATGGGCTTAGCTGCCCTGTGGCATGTGGGATCTTAGTTCCTCGACCAGGGATGGACCCTGCGTCCCCTGCATTGCAAGGCGGATTCTTTACCACTGAACCACCGGGGAAGTCCCTCTTCTTCCTTTATTGTCATTTTAGTGGGGTTTGGGGATGGAACAGAGATAAATGCACATGTTCAACACACATGTTTAACCAAAAGTTATAAAATTATGTCCTTAGTCATTCATTCAAAAAATATTTAAGTGCTTGACAGTGCACCACTGAAGATATAGCAATGAACTAAACAAAGACAGGGTCTCTATCTTTCTGCAGCTAACATACAGTCTAGGAGGAATCATGGACAACACACAAGTAATTCCTCAGGTGCTAAGAAAGAGAAAAGAGAAGTTTAGGATGACACAATGGGTTATGACAGGCAGACTGACCCAAGCCTAGGTGGGCAGAAAGAATATGAGGTTTCCTGAAGTAAATGACTGTTGGCTTCACACCAACAAATTTTCTGAAGAAAAATTAAGCTTGTTAAGCCTAGTGGAACAGCTTACCGGCGCTGGATCTGCCGTGCAAAATTGTTGCTGGAAGCTGAGCAGGGAAACTGGACTTCACTATGCAGGGTAGCGTTACGGAAGAGATCACAGAAGTTCTCAAACAGCTCCAAAAGCTCATCTGATGTATTCTCAAACACAGCGATCACCTCTGTTGTCACCATATTGTACACCACAAAGAAAGATGCCTGCGGAAGAACAGATAGACCTAAGGAATAGCTGAGTATAATGCCTTGCCTAGCAAATATCATTTTGGTTGAAAATCAAGCTGCCCAAGTAAAACAGGCAAACACCTCCACTCCGGCACTATGGCGGAAACATGGTGCCAAGAGGTCCTGGAAAAGGAGGAAGCCTCAGTGGACTTGATCAATCAAGTGCCTCAGTGTTGCCTGATTTCCCACTGTATCTGCTGGAATTACTGAGTTGTTCAGCATATATGTATAAGAAGGTTTTCAATCTTTCATTTCAAGCTGTGTGAAAATTTAATATTTTGCCTTCCAAGTGTTATTCCCTACTTACTCCCCAACCCACTTTTTTAAAATGCCAGATTTAATTTTCCTTCCTGCTGCGAAAGTGATTTGTAGCCAGGAGCTGCCTGTTGGCAAATTATTTTCTCTTGTATACGTACAGTTGAAAGTTCAATTTAGGGGCATTTCTTTTTCTCTCTTAATATTTCTAACATGCAGAAAGACATCTTAAGTACACTGTGTCCACCTAGGCAAGTTGTAACCAAGCAGGGGACTGCTGCTGAACACATGAAAAATCAGAGAAGCATTTTCCATTTCTTTCTTTATAAATGTTCTTTCAGCCAAGAGCATTTGTAACATACATTTGAGATTCGTAACAATTAATTTCAGAGGGGGAACCTGAAAACCATTCGAATGCCATAGGTGGCAGAGTTACTGCTTTCTCTGAATAAGCCCCTGGGTGACTGGCCCTCTTCTTTAAACCTCCAGTGCTCTGCTCAGCCTAACAAGGAAGCACCAGGTACCTCTAGTTTTTATCACAGTGAATGTGGCAGTGTGAGTCAATCTGCAAGCTTCCAGCAGGACTCTAGAAGTTTTCAGAACACTAGGATTAGTATTCCGCCTCTTATGATTGAATTTAAATCTCCATTACCAATTTCTGGAGACATCTGGCCCACCTGTTTTAATAGTAATTAGTCCTTCCCAAAGCTTATATTACATGACTTTTGCGGTCACCTGGAAATTAAATTTGGCTGTAAATTAAAGAGGCTGGAGAGTAACCTGAGAATAATACCCATAATATTAGCAAGGCTTTGTGTTTAGGTGCACTTTTTACTTATTAACCTTATTGGAACCTATCAAATTAAACTGGGAAAGGAGGAGGGAGGACAACAAGGGCAGAGAGATTGGGTTTAAAGTTACAAATTCTGTAAGCAAAGCATAGAGCCCTTGTAATGTTTCTGGCTACAACCTACTGTAGCTACTGGATATAAGTAGGTCATGTTTTAGCAAAGGAAAAAAGGATAATCTCAAATGCAGCAGTCACACAACATATTCCCTCCAAAATAAAAAGGTAATTATAGCTCAAACCTAAATACAAGATTGATTCATGTCCTTTCTATAAACCTGGACAATGCTTTGATCATATTAGGGCTTCACCAGGATCCATCATAATTATGTGAATATAGAATTACACAAACATTTACTAGCCTTCCCACCAGGCCAGACTGGGAAATACAGGACAGGAGGGTACAGAAGTCAAGGGCTTCACGGACAACCTCCCATGACTCATAACATGAACTAGATGGGCTCACCCATGATGGCTCAATGGGTGACTTCATCATTAATAGAGAAGAAAAAGAATTCAGAAAAAAAATGATCTCTAACCATTTTACTCACCACCCCCCCTTATATTTTAGAGTATACAAGGTATGATTCAGAAGAAAAATATTAGAAAACATTTTACCATGGATGGCTGGTACGGTCTTAGGAGACAATTCCTTATACAGTCTCTAACTGTTACAGGCAGAATCAGCTGCAAGTCAATGAGAGAAACCAGACTCAGCTGACTTCGTGGTTTACTGGTTTGTTCTGTTCTAAATTTCCAAACTAGTATCTAAGGAGACACTCTGGAAATAGGAGAATAGGGGGGACAAACGTACAGAAAAGTAGGTCTCTCACTTGGTCAACACTAAAGTAAGGAGCTTCTCAAAGGGAAATGCCCAAATTACCCTGAATTTCAGCATGGTATTTCAACCCAAAAGTCTTAGAGGTTTCCATGCTCTTAACACCACGTTATTCCTATTTGTGAAATGCCTCTCTCCCCTACCAACATCTTTCACCCAAACTGAAAAACCCTCAGAACCTGCAGTCTTGATTATTCACTTGGCAGATCAAAAATTTTTGGCTTCCTTTTAATCTTTTCACTGCTCTACAACCTATGTTCCAGCACATGGGCAAGGTCAGAGTACAGTCATAAAGCTTAATTCCATCAAATGAACTTACCTGTTACAATCTAAAGAAGATTTGGTGAGGAAGTATACTGACATCATTTAAGTAGGAAAGAAAAACTAGATTTTTAGAAGATTTTCTTTTTCGTATGGTGGGTTCATTCTCATTGCCAGAACTAAGCAGACCAATAAGCACAATCTTATACAAAATCAAGGCAGTATCCATAGGGAGTCAAACCTTGACCCTGTAGCATCTGGGCTTCCATTTCAAGTGTACTGAAAATGCTCTGCAGAAGAATTAGGGTAAGAATCACAGAGTTGACTACCTACATGTCAATGGCTTACGATATAGCTTCCATTTGTCCAAATGAGAAAAATCATTTTGAGAAATGATTAGAAAAGTCGAGCTGTTTTAAGTATGAGCCCGAAGACAGCAAAAATTCAAGATTACATAAAATGTGTTATTTCTGAGAGACTGGCTATAGGCAAAGAGAGAAACCTTCCCATTGTGCCAAGGAGACTGGAGGGGTAAAGGGCAGGAGAGCACCTGGTACCTGTGATGGATCTGTGACCCGCAGGGTTACGACATCCTCACTAGTATACTTGATAAACAGATGGTTTTCATCCAGAAGCTGCATTTTCCACATGCGCAGCTGCCGTAGTTGGTCAAAATACTGGAAGAAGCGCCTCTTGGCCATTGCACTACCATCCTGCTCTGCCCGGCGCCAAAGGTACACGAGCAGCCGGTGTTTCAGGGAGTTGATGAAGGGATCCCTGAAAGGATTGGCCATGCCTGTCTGACTGTCCCGCTGCACCTCAGGAAAAACAGCTGACACAGTGAGCAGGTCATCCTCATAGCAGAAGCGGCCAATGGTCCTCACATCAATGAAAGTGCCTTCAGGAGTCACCTGGAAGACATGGATGGTCTGCTGCTGCACTGACAAGATGGCCAGGATGTTCTTATACAAGTACAACCCTTGGTTGTGTGACAGGACCACTTTGTCACACTTGAAGGTACGTGTATCACATAAGCGGCCAGTATGAAGGTCAATGATATGGAGGGAGTAGTCCTCCAGGGGGGACCGGGGGTTGGGGGTCACGGACTCACTGTTCCGATATACCTCATAAAAAGGAGGGTGAGGCTCGTCTGGGAGATAGGCAGCTGAGCCCACGATGACACAGCGGCAGTCATCAGTGAAGAGGCTGCACTCCCGGTTCAGGTGCTCGCCATTGGCCGCCACATTGGTAATGTGCAGCAGGACGAAAAAGCGTTCGAAGAGCCGGCCACGGATGTTGACTGACCGCTGGTCATTGCCATTGGACAGGATCTCCCCCTCATAGCCCTGCAGTAGGTCCTCAGCTGCCTGGCAGCCCTGGTACTCATAGATTTCGAGAGATGTCTGGTCTGAAGAGAAAGCAATGAAGTAGCGTCCATCAGGTGAGAATTTACGCAAGAAACAAGGCGGCTTTTCAACATTGACGACCGTGAAGTTGGGGAAGACATTCTGGTGGAACACTCGGACCTGGTGCCAGTGGGTGCCTGCCTTGCCTGAACTGATCCGCCGGCGTTCCAGGCGGTGAATGACATTTTGGTTTTGGATTCTTCGAGGTTTGATGGTGGAAACATGATGATCCATTATCACATCTCTGCAGGGAGAAGTAAAGAAGAAGTCAAGAAAATAAAACAAAATTTACCAAAACATAAACACACTTGACCTTTGAACAACGCAAGGGTTAGGCACACCAATCCCCTGAAGCTGAATATCCAAGTATAACTTATAGTCAGCTCAGTATACATGGTTCCCTCCTATCCATGGTTCCTCCACATCCACGTATTCAACCAACCGAGCAAGTCTAGTACTGCAGTATTCACTGATGAAAAAAATCCATGTGTAAGTGGACCTGCACAATTCAAATCTACGTTGTTCAAGGGCCAACTGTGTATATACAAGTCAAATAGATTTCCTTCCATATATCCTGGACCTAGGAGCTCCCAAGATGACAGTGATCAGCATTCCTTCTTCCCAAGTTATAGTTAGAAAGTGGTCAGGACATTTTTGAGTCTAGAAACAGGTTTGAGGGAAGGAACTAATTCCCTAGGAATACCTTCAAAGCATGCTTAGCTGTTGGGAATGTTCAACAGAGCAAACCTTAGAACTACATCAAATTTGTTCAGTGTAAACACCACATTCAATGTACATTCATTTAAAAAATATATTTATTGGGCTGTTAAGATGTCCATCCTACCCAAAGCAATCTACAAACTCAATGCAAAATCCCAAAATCCCTATCAAAATCCCAAAATCATTTCTGGCAAAAACAGAAAAATTCATCCTAAAAATTACATGTAATCTCAAGGGACTGTGAAGAGCCAAAACAATTTTGTAAAAGAACAAAGTTAGAAGACTCAGACTCCCTGATTTCAAAAACTGTTACAAAGCCACAGTAATCAAAAAAGTGTGGTACTAGCATAAGGCAGAAAAATATACCCAATGAACAGAATTAAGAGCTGAGAAATAAACCCTCACATATATAAACCTGAGATTAGAAGTTCAGAGAACCCCAAACATGATAAACCCAAAGAAATCCATGCCCAGGGACTTCCCTGGTGGCGCAGTGGTTAAGAACCCACCTGCGAATGCAGGGGACACGGGTTCAATCCCTAGTCCAGGAAGACCCCACATGCCACGGAGCAACTAAGCCCGTGCGCCACAGCTACTGAGCCTGCACTCTAGAGCCCGCGAGCTACAACTACTGAAGCCCGCGCACCTAGAGCCCGTACTCCGCAACAAGAGAAGCCACCACAATGAGAAGCTCGTGCACCGCAATGATGAGTAGCCCCCGCTCGCCGCAACTAGTGAAAGCCCATGCACAGCAATGAAGACCCAACGCAGCCAAAAATAAATAATAAATAATTTATTTTAAAAAAAGAAAGAAAGAAAGAAATCCATGCCCAGGCATACCACAGTCAAATTGTGAAAAACTAAAACACAAAGTAAAAATCTTGAAAGCAACCACGTAAATGACACATTACCTATAAGGGTACAACAATTCATTTATCTGTGGATGTCTCATGAGAAACTATGGAGACAAAAAAGGAGCAAAGCAACATTTTTAAAGTGCTGAAACAGCTGTCTGTTTCATCATTCAAATCTCAGCCAAAATAGCAACTCTTCAGAGTTTTTGCCTGACTACCTTACCTAAAGTCATGACTTTTTCCATCCACATCAACCTACTGTTTTATTTTCTTCAGCCCATATCACCTTCTGAAACCATTTGTTTACCTTTTTAGCATCTTTTTCCCCCACACAGGACAGCAGAGGCCTTGCCTAATTCCTTGCTGAATCTCCAGCACCTCGGACAGTGCCTGAGGCACAGTAAATGCTAACAAATGTTAAATGAATGAATGGAACAACATTTGACAAAGATCTTAAAGGATAAAGAACTCACTAGGCAAAATAAAGGAGGAACATTTCAGAAAGAAGGTAGCTTAAAAAATATACTTAAAAAGAGTGTAGCATGGCACATTTGGGAAACACAATACCAAGTGGTTAGAACACAGGAAACACAGAGTGATAAGAGAAGCCTAGAAAAGTAGATTGCAGACAGATTGGAAAATCCTTTGTATGCCACGTCATGCAAGTTATTACAGGTTTTAAGCAGAGGAGTGACTATCCAATCTATACTTTAGAAATAAAAACATACAGACAACGGGGAATTTGTTTATATTCTGTCTCCTAAAAGAGATATGAAATGCCTTATATAAGTATATATACTACCCAGTCAAGTCAGAAATGTGCATACCTTATGATTGAGCAAATCAAGTTTCTCAAACTGCTAGTCACAACTCACTGATGGAGGCTTGAAATCAATCTAGTGCATATACTAATTGACCTTTCAAAAAATGGAATAAAACAGAAAATACCAAACTGTATCACATATTTTCAATACATATGTGAGTTACATGCACTGGGTGAGGATATAAAATATATTTCCTACTGATCTAGACTAGAGCAAAAGACTGCAAACAACTAGCCTCAGACCAGTCTAGGCTGCCTGCCTATTTTTGTAAATAAAGTTTTATTGGAACACAGTCATACGCACTCATTTACATCTTGCCTATGGCTGCTTTTGCCCTACAAAGGCACAGTTCATTTATTAAGACCAAAGACCACACAGCTCACAAGCCTGAAATATTAACTACCTGGTCTTTTGCAGAAAAAGTCTGTCAACCCCGATCTTGAGCACTGGTTCCCAAATGGGGCAATTTTGTAATATATGAAGATATTTTTGGTTGTCATAACTTGGGAGGGAGGAAGGGGTGCTTGGGGTGTCCATCAAACAGAAGACAGGGATGATGCCAAACATCCTACAGTAAACAGGACAGTCCCTCACATCCAGCCCAAAATGTCAATAGTGCTAAGGTGGAGAAATCCTGATGTAGAGAAGTGTCTGCACATACGTAACAGGAGACATATACAAGGATGTCTGTAGCAGGACTGTTAGCAACAGCAAAAACTAACAACACTCCAAATGTCCATCAACAGTAGACTAGATAAATTCATCCACGCATATTCATGCAGCGGAATCTTTTTTCTTTTTTTTAATGTTTTTGTTTGTTTTTTGGCCACGCCACGTGGCTTGCAGGATCTTAGTTCCCGGACCAGCGATAGAACCCAGGGATCAAACCCGGGCCCCAGCAGTGAAAGCACTGAGTCCTAACCACTAGACTGCCAGGCAATTCCCCAAGCAGTGTAACCTTATGAAGTAATGAATTAATGTACTACAGTTATATATAACAACACAGATGAATCTCAGACACAGTGTTGAATGAAGAAAGCAAGCTACAGAATACATACAATGTGATTTCCTTTATATAAGCTTCAAACAATTTTCACTTTAATACAAATATATGTGGTATACAATTACAAAAAGCAAAGGAATCATAAACATAAAATTCAAAATAGTGGTTACCTCTGAGAAAGTAAGAAATGGGATGGGAGTTAGGGACACATTGTCACTTTTAAGTGTATATTTTTTTCCTTCAATCAGCATTCATTGTACTGTTATACTTTTAAAATTACATATGTTTTTTAAGTAATATTTGTGCTTACTCAGAATTTTTTTTAATTAGAAAATAATCATTGTGAAGGGAAAACAAAGGTAGGACAATAAAATGAAGTCTGAAGTACACAAAAATTCATGCCGTCAGGACCTGCAAAACTGCCAAGCTTCTAATTTGGCTCTGACTTTCTCGGCAGACAAGGCAGAGGAAAATACAGTCAGTTACAGAACTTGCACTGCCAAGAAGATAAAAACTTAATAGCTGCTTGGAAGAAGCACAGCAATACCCATCACTGGATTTTAAAAGAAATCTCTCTCATGAGTTTTCTCAAAGGATCTTGGCATGATACAGTGAGCAATATCCTCCACTTCTGAACGATAAACACAATGCTGAGTTTCACACGGCTACTCCTTTTAACAGTGACATAGTTGATGTGCCCATTTTGATACAGTCCAAAAAACATACTGGTAAGGTTTAAGCATTTTAAAATACCAAGTACTGTACAAAACTGCCTCCCTCAATCCCTGCCCAGGACACCTCTGACACTAGCACCCTGTGAAACTAAGATGCGGGCTGGAGTCAGAGAGGGAAACCACAAGGGGATGCGATAGGCAGGTAAGGCCCATGAATGGAAGAAGGAGTAGGCATCAGACACCATCTAGCAGACTAACCACATATAACTGAATCAGATAAAGTAAACTAGCTGTTCGACTTAGAGCCATTGATCATTTTAAGCAAAGCAGATGCTTAATTCTAAAAAAAATTTGTATATATTTTTAACAGTCCCATCTTAAATTCTCCAATTTGTCTTTTTAAGGGAAAAGCCACCAGTACTGTGGTGGAGGGAGTAGAGGGGTGGGGTGGGTAGAGGTGAAGGCCTGCTGGCTTCAGCTCCAAATTGGACAGAAAATCCACACTTAATTTCCTAACCCTTCTCTCAGTGGGCTCTCTCTCCCTCTCCATATTTTACATCACACAATTATGGTTTTTAGAGAGATGGTGGAATTCTTAGTATTTTTCAACTTGTTATTCCAATTATAAAATACATGCTCATAAACTCAAACCATACAGAAAAAGTACATCACGAAAGTCCCTTCTAGTCAGAGTGGGAGTTATAAAAAACATTAGAGTAACTTATATTTTTCCCAGAAGCCCTCTACCCGTTTCCCTAGTCCAGTAAATGGCATGGCCATTCACCTGCTAAAAGGAACCAGAAAGCTGAGAGTCTCCCTTGATACCTCTTTCCCTCAGCCCCCATACCTGATCAGTCACCAAACTCTGGAGATTTTACCCCCTAAACAGTCCTCTAATGCTCCACCTTCTTCTATCATGACCTGCCAGCACCCTTACCCAAAATTTTATAACTTCATGTCTACGTTATTGCAACCGCTTCCTAAGTGGTCTCCCTAAATCCACTCCTATCCACTTCCAATCCACTTACCAGAGCAATCTTTTCAAAATGCTTTTTTGATCACATCCTTTCCCCTACAGATTAAAACAAATATCTTTCCATTGCTCTTAATGATACGGATCAAAATCCTTGCCGTGCCAACCAGATGTCTCAAAGGCTCAGTGCTGCCTCTCCAGCCTCATCTTTTCCCATTTCACTCTAATCATTTCTTCAACAAGTGGCCTACCTCCTGCCTCTGAACCTTGGCACATGCTCTTCACCTCAATCTAAAAAAAGCTCTTCTCTTCACTTTGCCGAGTTAACTCCTATTTCAGGTTATGAGCCTAATCATCACTTCCTGAGAGAAGTCCTCCTTAACCTTTCCCACCAGATAAAACACCAATACACCAGCCATACCTCTCCTTCTTAGCACTTACCACGCTTGCAACTTCATGTCTGCATTTTACTTTTGTCTGTGGCACTAGATGGTGAACTCCTGACCGGTACACAAACATTATATCCTGTATGCCCATCACAGCATTTGACCCATCGAAAGCCTCCTTTCCTGAACGTTCTTTACCAACTCAAATATCCACAGGTGCTGTTCGCTCTGCCCAGCATATATTTCCTCCTCTGGCCCTTGCCATACTTCTCAAGCCGCAGCTCAAGTGTCCTCTCGTTCAGGAAGTCTGCTCTGACACCCTTGCCGAAAGAGATCTTTGCTGCTTTACCATTACTTTTTCTGTTCATCTTTTCCATAGCCATTGCCACAATTTGAATTTGTACTTTCAGCGGCATGGTTAGGTGTTTAATGTTCGACTCCCCCGCAAACTATCCTCTCCAGGCAGGACGTAACCATAGCTACTTCAGTCACCTTAGTTTTCAGAGAGCCTAGCACTAGGGCTGCCCCACTGCATGCGTTCGTACGTTATCTATGGAACGAAAGAAGAAAGCCTGACTGAACTGGGCCACTAACTCGTGCGGTACTAAGCAAGACCTTCCTCCCTGCTAGGTCTGTTTCCCCGGGCAGGCAGGTGCACGTAACCCTCAACTCCTTCTGACGGCTTCCTAAACGGGAAGGGGATACCCAGGGGCGGGCACACACGCCCAAGGGGCGCCCCCGGAAAGAAAAGCCCGGGGCGGGGCCTCAATGGGAAGAGAATTCTGAGGGAAGGCGGGGGCCGCAGGGCCTCGGCGTCAGGCGAGAAGAGGGCAGCCCCATGGCGGTAACTCGAAGAGGCCTCGGGGAGGGCCTGACGGGTTTGGAGGCTGGAACAAGGAAGGAGAAGTCCTCACCTGTCCGGTCCGGGCTCAAAGGGCCGGGGCGAGGGGCTCCCCGGCCTGCTCGGCGCGCGCCTCGCCCAGCCCCGCCCCCGCCATGCTGTGGGACCAGATGCCCGCAGCTGCCGGCTCCCGCTTCCGCTAGCCACCGGAAGTGCGGTGCAGCGAGAAGGAAAGTGGAGAGAGGGTGGCACCCGTCCGGCCGGCCCTGAGAGACGGTATAGCGCACCCTGCTGCCCGGAGGGGGATCGAAGCACTAGAGGCCCAGGGGCTGCGAAGGAAAAATTGAACCAGGCGCCGTAACCTCGACACCTGAGTGATCTCCTATGGCAGTGTCTCTGCACCCGCTGGACACACTTGCAAAAACATGAATAAAAATTAATTTTTCACCTCTTGATTAAATGCACCATTTCATCAGCTGAGAAACTATCCGTTTTCTGTTATCTCCTCCTAGACAGTGAGCTCTTTAAAGACCGAGGCTGTACTGATCTCTGAACGCTGTGCCTAATACATTTACTAGCACACAGTGGACTACAGTATAAGCTTATTGCATTAAATTAATGCTATAACCTTTACTTGACTTTTACTTACATTGTCTCTTACAACCTGGTTCCTCCCCCGAAGCCTCTGCTTTGTCCTATTTCTGGACATCCTGCCCCCAAATTTCCCTGCCTCAGCCTCCTTCAGATAATTCAGGTCTCAGAGTAAATGCCACTTCCTCACAACTCTTGTCTGACCACTCTCATTTCACCACCATCGTGCTATTTCTTCCTAGCACTCATCACTATCTGATATTACCCCCATTTGTTTTGTTTTCTTTCTTTTTTCTGTTTCCCTTGCCCCGACTAGAATGTAAATTCCGTGAGAGGACGGGTTTCGTCCTCTTTTCTTTTCTACCCTCACCTAGACCAGGATTTAGCATCTTGCTGGTGCTCAAGGAAGGTTCAGTCCGTGAATGAATGGCTCTGCCCGTAGGGCTCACAGCATCTCTATGAGGAAGGAATGTTTATTGGCTTTTTTAAGTGCAATTTTATTAACTCAACCGTCTTGGTTGACGTTGTTATAACAAAATATCATAGACTGTTTAGTGGCTTTTACAGATGAGGAAACTGAGGCTCAAGGAGGATCCATGACTTGGAGATGAGGGTGGTTAAAAGGAAACACCGTGGGTTCTTGGTCCAGTCTTGACATTTCCAAGCTGAATGTACTGACTTCAGAGTCTCTATTTCTTCTTCTAGGAAACGAAGATATAGTATGCAGAGTATATCTCAAGTAGAGAAAAAAGAAGGAGAAGGAGAAGAAGAAAGGGGAGAAGAAGGAGAGGAGGAGATGAAGAAGAAGAAGGAGAAGAAGAAGAAACTCTAAATTTCAGGTTGCCCCCAGCTTCGGGGCTGGGTGGCCCATGGAGCCAGCTCTGAGTGGGCTGCCAGCCTTCCCCTTCCCCATTCAGCTTGTCAGATGATGCCCCCAGTAAGGGGTCAGCCCAGCACCCTCTCACACACACCCCCACAGCCCTCCCTGGACACTCCTGCCCACCATGGGGGAGGCAGGACTTTCTCCAGCTCCTCTGATTTCTTCAAGGAAAGCTTTTCCTATCGAGTGGAGTGGTTTAGGACAAAAGCATTCTGGGACATTGAATTCATCATACTTTCCTCAACTTTTGTATGGGTTTGAAATTTTTCATAACATCAACAACAGCAAAAGCTGAAGCTACCCTGCAGCCTGCCTGGCACTCAAGTATCACTTACCGATTAGCTTACTCTCATGCTTGACCTACAAGAAGAGAGAGGAATGGTAGGAACTCCCTCTCCTGGAATGTACACCTGTACTGCCCTGTCCCTGGCATGCCACTGCATGAGGATGACAGGTGAATGGGGGCCATGCCTTCCCTTCTCTGCTGACTATTGGCCTGTAAGTTTTCCCCAAGAGCTTATTACTTTAAAAAAAAAAAAAGGAGGGAGTTTTGCAGTAAAACTGGTTTAGTTATTTTTATATATATATATTAATTTAGTTGTTTTTTTTTTTTTTTTTTTTTTTTGCGGTACGCGGGCCTCTCACTATTGTGGCCTCTCCCGTTGTGGAGCACGGGCTCCGGACGCGCAGGCTCAGCGGCCTTGGCTCACGGGCCCAGGCGCTCCACGGCATGTGGGATCCTCCCAGACCAGGGCACGAACCCGTGTCCCCTGCATCGGCAGGCGGACTACCAACCACTGCGCCACCAGGGAAGCCCAGTTATTTATTTATTTATTTTTGGCTGTGTTGGGTCTTTGTTGCTGCGCACAGGCTTTCTCTAGTTGCACCGAGCGGGGGCTACTCTTTGTTGTGGTGCGTGCACTTCTCATTGCGTTGGCTTGTCTTGCTGTGGAGCACGGGCTCTAGGCGCGCGGGCTTCAGTAATTGTGGCATGCGGGCTCAGTAGTTGTGGCTTGCGGGCTCTAGAGCGCAGGCTCAGTAGTTGTGGCGCACGGGCCCAGTTGCTCAGCGCATGTGGGATCTTCCCGGACCAGGGCCCGAACCCGTGTCCCCTACATTGGCAGGCGGATTCCCAACCACTGCGCCACCAGGGAAGTCCAAAACTGGTTTAGTTTTGCAGTGAGACTGGTTCAGTTCAGCCTCAGGTACTTCTTACCTACAAGTTACTTATCTGTACCCCAGTTTCCCCACCTGTAAAATGGGGATAACAATCGTAGTGCCTGTATCATAGGATCAATGGAGAATAAAATTAGTTATTGCACGTAAAGCTCTTAGTACTGCCTGACACATAATTAGCACCCATAAATGTTAACTCATTAATTTGACTCTTACCATGCTGGACTACCTTGTCTTGGAATGTTATGGGTTTGTCTCATCAGTGAGGCTGTAAGCAAGCCCCTTGAGAATTAAGATTATGTTTCATACCCTCATGCTCCCACCTCAGACTGACAGATATAACTTTCCTGTGAATATCAGCTCCATCTTGGGATCCTGCCACTGGCTTATGTGGCTTTGGCAAGTCACTTTTCTCTGCCTGCTTTCCCATCTGTGAAATGGGTGTACGAGGGAGTTAAGGAGTGTGGAAACCACTGTGTTTGTGAAAGACCTAATTTTTACATGAATTTTTAAATCAAGTAAATAATATATGAGTACATTTACACAAACTTTTAATTACACAAATCATACAGGAACACTCTACTCTTGTAAAGCTACAAATAATATAGCAATAGAGTAAAAAGTGAAACTCCTCCACATCTTCAATCCCACCTCTCCCACTGTAGTAAGTGTATATCTATCCTTCCAGGACTTTCTATGCATTATTGTTGTAAATGGATGAACATACAGAGATCTATATATAGGATTTTGCTTCACTTTTTTCTTTCCACATGAATGGATATTGCCTTAATATTGTTTTGTAACTTGCTCCTTCAGTAAACACATTTGTCATTATGTTTTGGAGTTTGTTCTATGTCAGCACATAGATGTCTAATTCATGCACACTATCCCACAGTATGAATGTCCCATGATTTAACTATACTCCTATTTATGGGCATTTAGGTTTCTGGCAGTTTTCACCTTTATAAGCTGCCTCAGTGAATAATCTATATATAACTTTGGACACAAGTATACACATATGACATATATTTAACAGTAAAATTACTAGGTCAAAATTTAGGCATTTAAAAAGTTTTGATAGAGAATGCTAATTACAAAAAGCTTGTACCAATTTGCACTCTTATTTCTCCACATCCTTGCCTACACTCTATATCATCAATCTTTCTTGTTTTTGCCAGTTGCATTAGCAAAAGATGATATTTTGTTGTTTTAACTTGAATTTTCCTGATTACTAATGAGGTTGACTAATTTTTTCAGATGTTTATTAGCCATTTACAGTTTTACTATGAGTTGCCTTTGCATATCCTTTGCCCATTTTTCTACAAGAATATTTTTTCTTATTGATATGTAGGAGCTATTTATATATTCCAGATATTGATCTTTTGTTAGGACTGCAAACATTTTCTTCCTGTCTGAGGCTTGTCTTTAATTTTTAACTTTATTTATAGTGATGTCTTGAAAATGCTCTGACCTTCCACTACTGTTCTTGCTATTTGTCGATTTAATGCAGAGTCTAACTTGGGGAGGGCATCACACTGTGCTTCCTGGAAAATCTGCTAGTGGCACAGGAGGCCTAAGGTTGTCTTTTCTCCCTGCCTTTTCTAGGAAGTGGATGTTGTTTCATTTTTCCAGCTGTTATTGCTATCAGAGTATGATGGGGTTAAAGAGGCATCCAAAGGCAAGACCATGACTGTTTGTGGGTCTTTGCAAGGACTTTGCCTTCAATTTGTAGTGAAATCAAGAGCCGCAGGAAGGCTTTGAGCAGAGGAGTAACATAAGCAGTCTCATGTTTCCGAAGGTTCACTCTGGCTTCCACGGGGAAAGGGGGCTATTAAGAGACAGTCAGGAGGCTACTGCAATGGTCTGGGCAAGAGATGTTGGTAGCCTGGACTGGTGTTATAGAGGTGGAGGTGGTGAGAAGTGGTCAGATTTGGAATATATTCAATATATGAAGATGGAGTAAAGAGGACTTGCCAATGGATTGGATAAGTGGTGTGAGAGAAAGAAAGAGAAGAGGCAAAAATATCCCAAGATATTTGGCCTAAGTAACTGAATACTCTTGTTCAGAAAGTAATAGAATATTTGGATTGGGCTACATTTGAAGTCAGCTCCGTGAGGACAGGGATCATTTCTATTTCGCAGCTACTATTTTGCAGGTCTATGCCTCAGGGGGGCCATTTTCAAGGATACCGGATGCCACTTTCTATTTCCACAGCTCTTCAGCCTGCCTCTCCCAGATGTTCCAGATTCTAATTCCCCACTGCTCCCTCCCATTGCGCTTTCACACTGGGAACAACACTAAGTCCTGAGCCCCCACTGCATCCTCAGGCCCCTGCCTTTTTCTTCCCTCTTGGGAGTCTCCATACACACAGGGTCCCCAAAGGAGTGGGATGATGGAGTGATAGGGAGGGGGCCTGAAGGGCTTGAGAGCATCTCTCCCCTCACTCCAGTCCTTCTGTCGCCCTTCTGCCAAGGCTTTTAGCAACTCTGCTCGCTTTCTGCATTAGCCATGAGAGG